CCCAGGGCAACCACCTCTGTATCCATGACGAAACTCGCGTCTACTGAATGACCCAATTTACGGAAACAACTCTTTAAGATACGTAGGGAATTGATAGTTGATTGCGTCAATCTCAGGTGTTCGTCGTAAAGCTTCTCTCCCACACATTCACTCACTCAACAGGTGATATTGTTGAGAATTATAGAGCTAGAGGCAAGATAATTATTACCTTGATGCTATAAGTTAAACACTAGTGTGAAGTCTACACGATCATGGGGAGGAGAGGTGAGGGAAGTGTGTCGTGTGTTGCTGTGTAAATTACCTGTAAATGAAAAAGAAGTACCTTAACCTAACCCAACCTAACCCAACCTGATATGACCTAACACAGACTAACGTAAATTAACCTAACCTAACCTGACCTATATTCCTCTCGTTAAGTAAGGAAAGGTTTTGGTTGGCACGTGTATCATAGCCTTCACCCCCTTCATTCACAATCCTCCTATTCCACCTCCTCCTCCTCCTCCTCCTATCCCCACTCATCTTATCCCCACTCATCCTATCCCCACTCATCCTCCCTCTCCTTTCACGGGATTCCAAGAACGCGCAGAATCCATTATCGGTCCAAAATAGAAATGCAGAGTTGGATACCCGATTTAACCTGTCAGATTTAACCTTCCGGGTTTAACTTGTTTCAAACTATCTTTTTGAATATTTGTTTACCTGTATATCAGTTACACAAGTTTCATCGTCTGATCTTTATCCATTTTAATCCTTATTCTCTTCTTTATTGTTATTCCTTCTTATTCTCCTAATTATTTATCTTTTTTTTTCATTATCATATCTCTCTAAGTCTTATCTGTCTCTGTTATCTCACCTTGTGTCTCTCTACTTATTAACATCTTTCATCCCATATCACGTAGTTTCAACTTGAGTGCAAAAATTACAATACAAATTATAATGATAAAAATAGTTATTATTACTATAACAATAACAATAATAAAACAATAATAATAACAATAAAAACAATAATAATAATAATAACAAGTTGAGTGACGAGAGAACTTTGCTCTATACGTGAAAAATTAATGAACATGGTGTACACACTACTATAATCTTAATTAAGTGAAATACCTCCTTATAAGTGATTAAAAGGACTACTTTTTTCTTTTTTCTTTTTTTTTTACAATTTCACACTTACAGCACTTAACACTGATGAAAAAATATTATTATTTTTTTTAGGTAAAAAACGCAAAAATATATTTCAAATTAGAGTTCAGGTTATTATTTTTTTTTTTCGCTGTCGGGTACACATATTAATATCCTGGGAAAAACAACGACTCTATTCACGAGCGAGCGACGGAATGATGTAGTAATAATAAAAAAATAATTAACGGTTTATTGAAAAAGTCGGCAGCCCGAAGGTTGAAAATATACACTGGACAAAAATGACTTATATTACATACAAAGACTTGGGGTGGGTGGGTAGAGTTGCAATAGGTTAGGTATGGTTAGGTTAGGTATTATTGTGTTAGGTTAGATCAGGTATGGTTGTGTTAGGTTAGATCAGGTATGGTTGTGTTAGGTTAGATCAGGTATGGTTGTGTTAGGTTTGATCAGGTATGGTTGTGTTAGGTTAGATCAGGTATGGTTGCGTTAGGTTAGATCAGGTATGGTTGTGTTAGGTTAGATCAGGTATGGTTGCGTTAGGTTAAGTTAGGTTAGATCAGGTATCGTTGCATTAGGTTAGGATAAGCTAGGAGTTAAGAAAAAGATACGAGGATACGTGTGTTCTGACTAGTCCAGGTAGGAGATTGATAGACAGGTAGTACTTGGTATTTTGTATGATACCCTTTGATTTCATGCATATTGGAAATTAGTGTGTGTGTGTGTGTGTGTTCAGTTACCTCTGCTTTGACACGGAGAAAGGAAAGTTAATTACTCTTCAGATGTTCGATGTCTCGCTCCCCCAATTGGCTCGTATGGTTGTAATCTAGGACCAAAAGGCGTATCCCACAACAGAGGCCAATCCTAATCTTTACCTTGGTGTGCCATAAGGATCGACACCGACTCCTTTTGTGCCGTTTTTAATCACCATCATGGAGGTGAAGCGGCTGGTCTTTCCGAAACAGTGATGGACATGCCTTGACCTGCCCCGAACTCCCCTGACCTCTTCCGACCTCTCCAGAATTCCTTCGACTTCCCCGACCTACCTCAACCTCTCCCGACCTCCACTCGAACACCCTTGACCTTTCTTGTATGCCCCTGACACGCCCTGACCTCCCCTGAACACTCCTGACCTCTCCCAACTTCCCTGACCTCCCTCGACCACTCTAAACTCCCCTGACCTCTTCCGACCTCCCCAGAAGACCACTGACCTCTTCCGACCTCTCCTGAACACCCTTGACCTCCCTGACCTCCCCTGACCTCCATCGACTAGTTTTATTTCTTATATTTTAACCAATTTAATGATAAAATATTACCGATATAAATTATAACAACAATTACCTGACGTGATAATACTGATAACTATGAAGACATAACACTAACAAACACGACCATGATAACACTAACAAACACAACCATGATAACACTAACAAACACAACCATGATAACACTAACAAACACAAACCAGAACAAAAAAACAAACAAAAACAAGATAACACTAACAAACACGACCATGATAACACTAACAAACACGACTATGATAACACTAACAAACACGACCATGATAACACTAACAAACACAACCATGATAACACTAACAAACACAAACCAGAACAAAAAAACAAACACAAACAAGATAACACTAACAAACACGACCATGATAACACTAACAAACACGACCATGATAACACTAACAAACACGACCATGATAACACTAACAAACACGACCATGATAACACTAACAAACACCCACACATGATAACAGGTATTGTGACCCATAAATAGGTATCAACAGACGAGATTCGTGTCACACCGAAAGATCTCATTCATAATAAGTAGATACATACTAGGAACACAATCCACACACACACACACACACACACACACACACACTAGTAAACAGGGTCAATTAATTAGTACAGGTAATAATAGGTAATAATGCGAGGTTTCTGTTTATTATTATTGATGACGAAGTGAATTGAAAGCGTTTGTTGAGGGGAACCATTGTCTCCTTGCAAGACTAATAAGCAATTTGTACTTAAATAGAATAGGTACGTTATAGTATTAAATTCCGGATTATAATTGAATACTGAAACGCTACTTATGATTGTTTGGTTTGGTTAGGTTAGGTTAGGTTAGGTTAGGTTAGGTTAGAGTGGTTAATCTTAAAAGTGAATAAGGAGGAGTGCGTAATCTTCATGTGACCTGATTCAGCTTAGTCCAACAGTCACCAGGTAAGACAGGTACAGGTACAGGTCCAGGTACAGTCACCAGGTACAGGTCCAGGTATGGCATTATAAAATTGTTAATGTATTTCGTCAAGTGTTAAAAATCTTAACTATATAAACTCATTAACAGAGGAATATACAGTAAACCCACAAATGAGATGTATTTAATTTCCAACCTTAATAATGTATGTTGGCTAGAAATATCTCCCCACTAGCGGTATAAAACTGAGGTGATGCTCCTGTAGGTATATGCTGAGGTGGTCATCACTCCCTCCACCCAGCACAAATATTCTCCAGGAAATATTGTGTGTGTGTGAAGAGACGTGAAACCAGTGCAGTAGTAGTATTGTCGTAAAAGGGAATGCATCAATCTTGGAGTATTTCCACTTACAGAGAGAAATGCCTCCACTTGACGTATTGATATTGAAACAGTTTATTTAGCCAGAAAAATAACAAAGTGGACAATAACAATAAAGGATATTAATCTATTCCCGAGCTTCAACTACTAAAGGTCTTTAAGCACGTAGTAAGGTTAGTTATTGCACTAATTATGGGAGATAGAACCGTTTATTTTACTTTTAGATGACCCGTACGTAAAAATATTATATACACAGATCACGTAAAGAAATATTACCCTCAGGAAGAAGCCTCGGGATGAAGGATAAATGTCTCACTTGTAAACAAACTGATTGTAAGGAGACACATCACTTTGTTTACTATTTCATAACCCCAGAAACGTAGCAAATTTCTTACATTTTCCCCTCAAATTCCAGAAAAATTTTCGTAAAACTATTAGCAGATTATTTAGGATTCCCAAAATGGGTTACTAAACTAACTACAAAATGTACGAATTTAACGAATTATTGTACTAGTTTTCCGAATTAAAGGGAACCAGTTTTCGAATTTTATATGCCAATTTCCTGGGTTCAACCAGTAGCGGCAGCAACGTATCCGACAAGCCCTGAAAGAATCTTAATTACTGGTGTTGTTATGAACACTTGTAAGACTATCGCGTTTAATTGCTACTTGCCTGTCGAGGAATGAGGAAGATTGTCCATAATTAAGTTTTTTTGTTTTACAGAATGAGAAGTCATGTCTCTAGATTAAAGAGGAATATCTGTCACTGTGTGTGTGTGTGTTTCAAATAGAGGAATATCTCTCCTTCCATGTATCAAACTGAGGAATATTTCAGACATTAGACCTCAAAACTCAACAGGAATACATCTATATCTTGTGTCTTAAACCAAACTGCACCAAGGCAATATTTCAAGGGGTCCTCAACGGGTTATGAAAACTTGGAAAAAAATTTCAAGAAAATCTAGGAAATCTAAAATGAATAAGGTTTTATTATTCAATCCAACTTGTCAGGATAGAATTTGCCTCCTTCCTATTGAATTTTACTTGGCATTTGACTTGGAAATAATTCACTGGATCACTGTGATAATGTTTATGGTCAGATTGTACAGTTATAGTTATATGTTGTTAATTACTATGCTTTGGGGGGCCTTGCTTGAAGAAAATTTGATAAATATAAGCCCGCTTCATCTCCTAAGCAGAACTGTTTATATTTTCATCAATATTTTTAATGGTTTCTGAGGAAAAATTGTACTTGTCTTACTCTTGTCACAGGTAACCAGAGGATGAGGACAACAACCAACTACTTCTTGGTGAACCTGTCGGTGGCTGACCTCTTCATGACCCTCTTCAACTGCATCTTCAACTTCGTCTTCATGTTGAAAAGGTTCGTGCTCGACTTTGGGTTTAGATTAAGATTCGGGTTCAGATTCGCGTTCAGATTCGAATTCGGGTTCAGATTCGGTTTGGGGTTCAGATTTGGGTTCGGATTAAACATAAGGCACGTATACAATCATTAGACCAAACCTTAAGACTTCCTATATAAATGCTAAATTAAGCTCATAAAACACTTTAAACACGGACCCGATAAGTGTGGAGCGTTGTATTAAACTGGGTTACCTTATAAAGTGTCTGCGTGTTAACGTACAGACCCAAAACTACCGCTGTAATATGACTTCTTAAACTCATCTGGAAGCAAATAAAGCAATCGTCTCCGTTCGTCCGTCTGTTCGTTCGTCCGTCTGTTTGTTCCGTCCGTCTGTTCGTCCGTCCGTCTGTTCTCCAAGCAATCGTCTCCGTTCGTCCGTCTGTTCGTTCGTCCGTCTGTTTGTTCCGTCCGTCTGTTCGTCCGTCCGTCTGTTCGTTTCCTTGCGTTCGTTTCCGTAAAATACTGAACGATTCACGAGATCCACCTGTATGTTGACACTTGACCTTAACGGGTTGAAAAGGTCAAATTCACATAGGACTGTTTCCTTTAATATAATTACCTCCATGAGGATACAGTAAACTTAAATTCCCCTTTTCTTCCCTCGAGTTGTTAATGCCATTTATAATTATATTTATTTTTAATTTCATCAGTAATCTCAATAACAAGTTTACCATTATGGAACAACAAACACGAAATGTACTTTGGTTAAGCGTTTGTCTAGATGGTAGGACATGAAAGTTTCTGGACGTACAATAAACATGTGTGTGTGTGTGTGACTAATTAGGAGCGTTTCAACAATGTGTCATGTTACAAAATGATTTAGTCTTACCTGCAGGAACGAGTGATGTAGTTGTGTGTGTGTGTATGTGTGTGTGTGTGTGTGTGTGTGTGTGTGTGTGTGTGCCGTCCCTTTCATATGTGCTATGACGTCATCACTATAGCCTGTTAAATTTAAAACTTTCTACAAGTAAGTGACACAAAGTTTAGCGCCTTCTCCTCACTTAATTGTAATGAAATTGGCGCGCGAGGAAAACTTTTACGACGGGACTGAGCTCAAACACCTTTGGACTACTACACGGTGATATTGGCCTCGACGGCTTTGTAACTAAATTTCAATACATTAATTTTAGACTGTTAGTACCTTGTTTGTTAATGATGTTTGGTTCTCACTTTAAAGATATTTAGTGTATTCGTACAGTACATTATGTAAACACACACACACACACACACACACACACACCAGTTAAAATGAACCCCAGTACTAACAGACTACAACCTAATCTAACCTAAAATCTAATCGAGTTCCATTAACACATGGATCCACCCATTAGGACTATCCGTCACTCGTAATCTCGTAATGATTAGGTTTGATTACGTCGGAACTAATTAAGACGAGAGACCTACGAAGCTTCTTGCCTCACACACACACACACACACACACACACTCTCCGAATCAATAGCAATGTCTTCCAGAGTGCCTGACGAAGTGCCTGACGAAGTGTGTGTGTGTGTGTGTGTGTGTGTGTGTGTGTGTGTGTGTGTGTGTGTGGTCTTGGGTCTGTCAGGATCACTTCCCTTACACAGTACGTCTGGTGATGATGGAGCTTCGTGTTATATTTGAGTTCAGTTCTTTTCTGGATGATGTTCGTTGTACGTTTTACTGCATTAATAAACAAACTTATTTTCTTCTTCTTAATTTTCTTCCCTTTTTTCATCATCATCAATAATAATAACAATAACAAACAATAACAATAAATAACATCAACAATAGGCCTAGTAGAGGAGACTGGCTTGACACCTCAATTTGTGACCACCAAAACACATCGTTATATCGAAGGTTCACCTATTGATCCCGTCGGTGGTGGCGGAGCTGTGCAGATGACATGGCTGACGACTTCCCACTAGAGCTACAAGATATATGTACACACACACACACACACACACACACACACACACGATCTTTTTGTCTGTTATCCTTCCTCTGCCATCGTCAACCTTTCTAAGTTTCTATCTATCTATCTATGTATCTATCAATCTATCTATGTCTACGTCTTTTTTTTCTCCTCCTTTCCAATTCCATATTCTAATTTCTCCTAATGAGTCTCTTCTTCTTCTTCCCGTCTCCTCTATCATCAGTTTTTTTATACACGTCATCCTCTTCACTTCAATTTATTACTAACTTCCACTAACTCTCTCGTCTTTTATATTACATTCTTCATTCTATTTTTTTTCTTTACCTCTTTCTCGCTCTTAATTACTCGCTTCCGTGACCTGGATAACTTCTCGTGTTATATCTCTCACACATACGTCTCATATTATTGTAACCTGTATTTATTTAAGTTCATTTTCTTTTTTGTATCCACCTTTCCTTCTCTTTCTCGTGCTATCCTCATCTCTTACACCCAACCACAACTCCAGCCTACCCCACCCCACCCCACCAACTCCCGCCAACCCCACCCCACCAACTCCCACCTACCCCATCACACGTCTCCAAATGTCACGTCTCTCTTAATCTGTAAAGCCAGCGACCTCATCCCTCCAAAGACCGACCCTCAATATAACTTGGAAAAAGGCAGAGAATCTAAGGCTTGTGTGTATGTTATGATTTACAAATACATTTTTCTTTGTCAATTTCCTTTCAAAATATTCTTAGTATTTTTTTTTTATTTCTGTTTTTAATTTTTTTTTATTAGTTTATTTATCAAAAACTTATCGTGTGTGTGTGTGTGTGTGTGTGTGTGTGTGTGTGTGTGTGTGTGTGTGGCAGAAACGTCTTTTTGTTCGTGTAAATGGGATATTTATGCGATTGTTTATGTGTGTAATTAGGTTAAATCACTATGAGAAATATGTGAAATATGCATGATATAAATGTAGTGTTTGCTCGCTAACTTTCCTTTCCTTAATGTGTGTCTCATGACGGACTCCTACCACTGTGTCTCATGACGGACTCCTACCACTGTGTCTCATGACGGACTCCTACCACTGTGTGTCTCATGACGGACTCCTACCACTGTGTGTCTCATGACGGACTCCTACCACTGTGTCTCATGGCTGACTCCCTGTAGGTTATCAAGCTTCGGTCAGGTGGATCAATACGAGCATATAAAAGCCCCCAATGAAGAGTGCAGGAACAAGACAATTAAAATAGTTTCTAAAGCATCTAGAAAATTTTTAATATAAATGAAAGAACAATAACACTCTTTTTTACGCTATTTTCAAAAGTGTGGGGAATAATTCTCATTCTCAAGCAAGGCGTTGGGCGAAATGTTTGAAGAATCACCTGTGGAGGTTCGCTAAAATTAGATGATAAACATCCCAGAACTTGTACACTAAATGTAGATGGGTGTTATTTATCACCTGAGATTAGGGGTCAATTGTCGTCAGGTTAAACATCGCAACCTGTTACTTTTGCAGACCATCTAGTGTTCTTCAAGAAGCTATTTATAATACCTGCAAAAATTATCTGTGTACTAAGAGAGGGATAAAAAAAAATAGTTTCTTGAAAAATATTACTAGTTGGTGTGAGGTATTAACGCACATGTTGACATTAATGTTGGCAAGAGGATACGATAAAAACCACCACCACAACAACACAAGTCAAAGGTCAAACTCCCCATCAAATAATAACTGTATGAAGTTTCTGGGTACATCAATTACAATATTTTAGGAAAGTTTATGTTACAAGTGAAGTGACTTAAGTTAGGACATATATGGGATTCACGCGTTCTTGAGTCTGGCACCGCAGCAGAAGGGTACCGTACTAAACAACGTCCGAATGTCAGGCTCAGGACCTCGCTCTTCTGTCCCAATGAAATCAGCTGGAACATGTCAAGGGCATCTTGATACCTAGTGTCCCAACCCATTGCTCTTTTCATTACTCGACGTTTAATCCTTTCTATCTGCTTCGCCTGCTGTAGTGTGAGCAACGGCGTGGATGAGTGGGTAGCAATACTCCAGGATGGGTCGGATGTACAGTGCGTGACGTATGCTTTGATCAGTTGTTGTGGCGGAGCATTAAATTGTTTGAGGGTGTGAAGAAGCTTGGCTGCTCTTCTGGTGATACTATTGATGTGGTCTGGCCCTGAGAGGTAGTTGGTGATGGTGACCCCCAGCAGTTTACAGCTGCTCATTACCGGATTAAAAATATGGAGACAAAATCAGATATCCTCGTCCGTGAAATAGGAAGCCATTGTACACTCGGTAAACAGCTGTTGTGTTTATGATTTAAAACAAAAATTAGCACAAAGTCGAAAACGGTATAGATTCTTAAACGTCCTTCCCCCATGGTAAATATTCGAGCATGTGTTTACCATTAGTGACACCAGGCAGTACCGGAGTTTTCAAACCAGCACCACTTTGATCCTTTTATCATGTTTATCGCCACTACAAGATACATAAAAACATCCAGAAAACTCATTCACTGTCATGTTCCTTACAATTTAACCTTACCCTTAGCCAGAAAGAGATGTACAGGGTATCTCTCTCTTGTGTTGAAATGGTTCATGAATATATATTTACTAAAGTAGAATACGCGCTTTGAGACCATAATTGTTGAAGCTCAGTAAAACAATAGAACACCAACACCACAACAACACCAACACAACACAACTACAACAACACCAACACAACACCAACACCACCACAACAACACAAACAAAAGTTGAATAAGTTGTTGCTTAACCCTGACGACCATGGCGTCATGTAACACTAAACAACAGATAAATGACTTTACAGTTTCAGCTAATAAATAAAAGAGGAAACAAAATAAAATCATAATCCTAGAAAAATCAAATACGTGAAGATATGCCGCCATTATGTACCTTAAGAGCTCTTTAGCCTTCAATATGTCTTTATATAAATGCCTTGAATGTTTGCCAATTATTTAAGACACAATGGCTGGAATCCTAGACAATTGGGCTATCTTAAGACACAATGGCTACAATGTAACAAAGTCGTAGCCCAAGACCATCATGATTAATAAGATGTTCACATGAAAAGCTATAGTGTGTCATCAAATATAGTGTGTTTGCTCACGTAAATAGAAAAAATGAATTTCTCCTTTTTCTTCACGACTTCATTTCTACCACAAATTGTTTCTCGTCATATTTTGCACTTGATTTTTTTTTTTCTCTCTCGACATAATTTATTTTTCTATCGTGGCAGTCATTGGGCGTTCGGGAGCATTTACTGCACCATATCACAGTTCGTGGCTCATGCTTCCCTCGCCGCCTCTGTCTTCACCCTTGCCGTCATCTCCTTCGACAGGTGAGTCTTCCTTTTATCTCCTTCGACAGGTATGTGTGTATACAATTGGTATTTCCGGGATGTCATATCTTGTGGCCAATTTCAAACCGTGTCCTAATATAGGATTACCTTCTGCCACACGTAACAAATATACTCTTAGATTCTCCTTCCAATTTCGTCTCTGAGATACAGTTCATATGATTTATTACCATGGAAAGTTTATTCCAGCGTAAAGGTGACAGGTAAAACCTTCACCTGTAATTGATTTTCTCTTGTAGTTGGGAAATTTCGTGGATCTCTCTCTCTCTCTCTCTCTCTCTCTCTCTCTCTCTCTCTCTCTCTCTCTCTCTCATCTCCGTACTTACAGGTTCCTGAACGTAATGCGACCTCTGAAGCCTCGGATGTCAGCCTGTGTGTGTCGACTGCTGCTGTGTATCATCTGGGTGGTGGCGGCTTCCATAGCTGCCCCCATCCTGCCCTACGCCACCACCATCCAGTACGAGTATGTATTATATCATCTGGCTTATTTTTTCACCGCATCTCCATAGCCTTTTAGGGATCACCTGATCATTAACCTTACACTAGGCTTATTTCAATTTTTTTCGAGCATTAGCCCACCCGGCCACAGGTCATTTTATAGTGACTCACATCAAGGACTGAGGGGCGAAAATATGGTTCATTACCAGTTCTACAGTCTTAATGCGAACAGATGTATCTTGCGATATAATTCTCTCAAGCTGTCTATTATATCTGTTCCTCTTGTGTGGGATGTGGGTCAACAAGCACGTTAAGTGAAAAAAAAATACCCACATAAACTTGTTCACACTCTCAACCTATATAAAGTGATTCCTAACACTACAGAAATATATTATATACATACCGAGTTCAGTTATAAATTCTTGGTTATAACAAACAAGTTATGCTAGGTGTCATGGCACAGTTCAACAACCACTGCTTCTACACAACATGAACAATTTACAGTCGGTATAAGTACCATGAGAGCCTCGTAGCCTCACGTATAGATATAATCAACTGGGAGGATTGTGTATATGAACATTACATAATTTTGTTCGTGGGTGTGTGTGTGTAACTTACACCAGTCTCAGTGTGTTGGACGGGGAAACACACTATCACTTCTAACTCTTTCACTTCACAGATAGTTAAGGCCATAAAGGGCATTTGTCTTTATGTGTGTTGTAGCGGCCCTCACCACCCTATTGTTCACACTTGTTGCTCTTCACTTGACTCCTTGCCTTTCACATACTCACATACATACATACATACATACATACATACATACATACATACATACATATATATACATAGTGTGTGTGTGTGTGTACAGAAAAAAAAACAGGCAATCACTTTTTGAAGGCGTGTCGCTTTGTCGCACATCCTTACTATTCACCAACTGACACACACACCGGCAGATAAAGTTTTACCAAAGTGATCCACACCCCAGGAGGACCTACCCCAACCCCCTGACCTAATATCGGTAGAGGTCAGAGAAAATATCTTTTGAGTGATGATATTGCAGTAACTTTTTCTCTGACCCAACTAGCAGGCAATCTTGTTGTGCGTTTTACCAGCATTATTGCCTAGCAGTGTATTGAAGTGGTCTGGTTTACTCTATGGTGTTCAGGATAATGTCGAATTCGTTCCCCCGTCTCCTTCTATAAGTCCTTTGTGATATTGAGAAATATAACTTTTAAAAACATGTCTTATAGTTAATAAATATTCTTCATCTGCTATTTGGTTTGGTGTTTGTTGTGTGTGTGTGTGTTGTTGAGTGAGGTGTACAGTAAGTCTTGATACGTGTGTTGGCGGTACCTACAACATGTTGGTGAGAGGGATTATGATATTCTGAACACCGACAATAACACTCCATCCATCCATCCAGCTATCTACACACACACACACACACACACACACACACACACACACACACAAGCCGTTACCAGGTCACTAGTAATTGTGATTTTTCTCTAACCGATTATTTCTTGCTAACACTAGGGGAACCAGTGTTTATAAATACTGTTAAACTCGGTAGTCAGGTCCTAGTTATTTCCGGTCACATCCTTGGAACACCGAGTATGATTTCGGATTGTAGTTTGTGTCTCAAGGACTGGCCCTCACTACCATGTATGTGGGAAAGGCAGGTAAAGACATATTACAAAAATAAACTGTATTTCTATGTATTTAAAGATACAACAACACCTCGAGGAATACCAGGTGTGTAATAATAATAATAATAATAATAATTAACGGTTTATTAAAAAAATTCTGCAGCCCGAAGGCTGAAATATACATTGGACATAAATAACTTATTACAAACATTAGTGGTTTAACAAAAGCCTTCATTAGAGAAAGGTAAAGGAACATACAGCGAACATACAGATTAATGTAGGTGTTGAACAGCAAACTCGTAGTGTAGTAACTCCCTCCCAGATGGTGTTAGGAGGAACTCACGTGGTGTAGTAGTTCCCTCAGATGGTGTTATGAGGGACCTGGCGTAGTGTAGTAATTCCCTCGCAGATGGTGTTATGAGGGGCCTCACGTGGTGTAGAAATTACCTCACAGATGGTGTTATGAGGGACCTCACGTGGTGTAGTAATTACCTCACAGATGGTGTTATGAGGGACCTCACGTGGTGTAGTAATTACCTCACAGATGGTGTTATGAGGGGCCTCACGTGGTGTAGTAACTCCCTCACAGATGGTGTTATGAGGGGCCTGACGTGGTGTAGTAATTCCCTCACAGATGGTGTTATGAGGGACCTCACGTGGTGTAGTAATTCCCTCACAGATGGTGTGATGAGGGACTTGACGTGGTGTAGTAATTCCCTCACATATGGTGTTATGAGGGACATGTGGTGTAGTAATTCCCTCACAGATGGTGTTATATGAGTGAGGTTTGGTCCCAGGCCTTCCTATCGTAGACGGATTAACACATCGCTGGTTGTTGTTGGGTCTCACGGGCCGTTATCACTGGGTACCTGGGACCTCACTGTGTGTGTGTGAAGGTTAACTTGGGTACGACTGTTACTGTTGAGTTGTTCTCACTGACTTAAGCACTGTTCACCACTGTTCACCTCTGTTTAACACTAGTTCCGTTCCATTCCTAAATGAAATTGTAACGTCTGGCGAGAACTTGTTGATATTCCGGTGGGGAGGAGGGTTCAGGGGAGGGGGTTGGTATGGGCCAACTTAACAGTTAACCTGGCTGCTCCGAGAGGAGCGCCAGGGACATCTTGCTCCTTTGGTGGTCAAGGATGTAGTGTGTGTGTGTGTGTGAGGGCGGAACACTTGAACAGCACGTCTTAACTGTATGGAGGATATCAATGCACTGAACTCAAAGGCGTTTGATTATGACGTATTTAATCTAGATTCTAGAAGGTATTGACCACCCGTTATAAAGAACTCTCAACTTAATTAAATATATGGGCAGTATATACATATAATACATATATATACATACAGGTATATACGTATAAGACACAGAATAGGATAATGGCAACACTGCTTGCACCCTCCTCCCCTCCCCTCACATAAACGTGTTGTCAGCGTCTCTCTAATCTAATCTACATACCGTAATTACTTATCCATTTACCTGTTGGGATATGAATTATTCTAATGTAATTATTGATTTCGATATGTTTGTCATGATTTGGCTAAGTGATGGGATGTTGTGAAACACACACACACACACACACACACACGTTCACTTTGACACTGTTCATAACGTGAACATAGACACATATGAGTAATGTGTGTAAGTATACAACTCACCACCACAAGGAACGAAGGTATATAGCTCATTGGGTATCATAATGGTCCACCTCAACTGTGCCAGCAATACTAATAGTGTTCTCTCGATCATCAAATAAAACTCATCAACTCTTGCCCTATGGTGGCACTCTTGCCCTATGGTGGCACTCTTGCCCTATGGTGGCACTCTTGCCCTATGGTGGCACTCTTGCCCTATGGTGGCACTCTTGCCCTATGGTGGCACTCTTGCCCTATGGTGGCACTCTTGCCCTATGGTGGCACATCCATCACCAGATACACACATATCGTCGTCGTATTCTCTCTATACCTTATAGAGGAGAGTGCCACCATGGGAGAGAGTGCCACCATAGGGGAGAGTGCCACCATGGGAGAGAGTGCCACCATGGGAGAGAGTGCCACCATAGGGGAGAGTGCCACCATGGGAGAGAGTGCCACCATAGGGAGAGTGCCACCATGGGAGAGAGTGCCACCATAGGGGAGAGTGCCACCATGGGAGAGAGTGCCACCAGTGGGGAAAGAGTGCCACCATAGGGAGAGTGCCACCATGGGGGATAGTGCCACAATAAGAGAAAGTGCCACCATAAGAGAAAGTGCCACCATAAGAGAAAGTGCCACCAAAGGGGGGGGGAGTGCCACCATGGAAGCCAACACTTATCTTAGCTGGTGAAGAGGATGTATTGTGATGGAGTGCCGGAGTTTGTCAAGTCTTGGAATGAAACTGGGAAAGACAAGAGAGAGAGAAAACGGACTCATCTGAAGGACCATTGAGCGACGACACGAGTGTATTATTGCTTTTGCCAGAATGTGGAGAGAAACAAGTCAAAAACAACATCCTTTTATAGCTGTAAATAACTAATGTGTTAGTCATATATAGTTCCAGGAAGTAATTTAACGATAGAGTATAGCCAGAGAGAGAGAGAGAGAGAGAGAGAGAGAGAGAGAGAGAGAGAGAGAGAGACGCTGAAAAGGACAGAAAAAGACAGAAAGATATTTGTCATGGTGAAGAAATGAAATATACCGTCAATGTCTCCTGTTTAATTTATAGTGATGGCTAGGAGGGTCAGTGGTATCTGTATTTATATATATTAGACTATGTCACTATGTATGACCCTACAGCGTAGGTCGAGAACAGACAGAGGTCATAAACCTATCACGCGTATTGACCCCTGACCCCTGAACCCATCCTACTGCTGTGGTTTGTAGATTCAATTCTTCAGGGTTGAATGGTTTGGTGATCACCTTTACCGGCATCATAGTTAACAAACAGACAGTAGAAGTAATTATGATAGTCCCTGGAGTTGATATACTCTTGGAGGTCATAAAGGTCAAAGGTTAAGGTCACCATCTGGTATTTAAGGACATTGTATCGAGAAAAATAATGTATTCTAATCTATATCTCAAAAAATATGTTCAAACTTGGTTATGTATGAATCACTGACTACCTTAACACCGGTTGTATTTCGGGAGGTCAAAGGAGGTCAAAGTTCAAATATTAAAGGTCAGAGGTCAAACTCCCATCATTAAATGAGACCTCACACACACACAGGGTCAGATGCCAACTTACTAACTACATTATCATTACGTAAATCAGTTTTCTCTCTCCCGTAATAAAGTCAAAATTTCCCTAACATTAATCACTAACTTAATACTAACACACAAGACGAGGTTACCAGGCGTGTGTTACGGTGTAGTTAAGACATGTTACATCTACCTT